GCTTCGAGTTCGAGGGAGTCCAAATTATCACCATGTTAGCGGCTTTGATAGTGGTAGACGTATTGCCTATCGCGATGTTGGTTTGCCCTATCGCGAAATTGGCCTCCGTGTTAATTGTACTGCAATGACGGTAATGCGTGTGTCGTATGTGGATAGAAGAAGGTAGAGGAATATGAAGAAGGCCAACTGGTCCACCGAGGCGTACCACAGAGCGTCAAGATATTCGCTTCGGGCAACTTCGAGATCGTTTTGATAAGGTTTGGAGAAGTAGGTAGACCTGATACTATGCGTAAACTCTATCGCCGCATTCGAGCATTTGAGCTTTTTTCATACTATCCACGGTTAGTGCTTCCTCTGACTGCGGACCACTGTCGTCAACGTTTGAACTGGAGCAGAGAACGGCAACATTGGGAGACAGAATGGCATAATGTCATCTTCAACGACGAATCGCTATTCTGTATAGCCCGTTTACCGGATTTAAATCCCATCGAACATGTGTGGGATGTGATGAGGAGGAGACTATTCACTTTGCATCATCCGCCATAGCTAATCCACGAAGTTCGAGTTGCTTGGAATGAGGTGCCACAACCAGACATCAATCAAATCCAAGCCAATGACCAAATTTTTGTATTATGTACCGCGGTAATAATATGATTTAAGATGACACACGGGTTGATGATATCAGTTACTCGAATCGCTTGGACGCGTGGTTTTAACCGCGGTTTTGTTGTAAGTTGTTTGTTTTAGAAAAGCGCGTATATAATTTCTGATTATTATTATTATCACTTAATAATCGGTGCTTTTTCGTCTAGAGCAGTCTATGGAAAGTTTAAAAAAAGAAACCATAATATGGGTGAAATTTTTTTTTTCAGCATGTTAAAGAAACCATTTATTGATTTAGCAGAAATGATAGGAAAAAGAGATGAAAAAATATATTAGCAAAACCGTATACAGGTGGACATTATCCAGTGAGTTTATATGGCCATATTTTAATATTCTTGTGGTATATTGCAACAAATGATACTTTGTTAAGCATAGGAACTAGATTTAAAGTGTCCCCAACAACAGTAATGGGTATATCTAATGAGGTGCTCTACTTTATGCTACAACTAAAGTCAGCCTGTATCAAGTTTCTCAAAAATGAAGCTGAAGTACAACCAAAATATCCAACACCCGCCAAAATTCTAACTTGTCACATTTCAAATAATAACCAGAAATATAAAACTACTCTGGAGTTGGGTAAATACCACAATTTTAGGGTGATAACTATGACATATAACAACTGATTCATGACGTCACGGATCTTATAACCAAAGTTATAAACACACTCGCTTGAACGGATCGGTAAATACCAATCCAAAATGATAAATACCATTTTCATTTGGTTATTCGCTTGAATTTGATTATCGATCATCTCATTTTGTCGATGCAAGGGTGTATCCAGGTGCGGGTTTTTTTCTTATTGTCAATACAATTTCGTGAGAATGTTATCGTTTCATTCTTGATGTAAGGCTACATCATTGCCAAAAAATCAAGATGAAGACATTATTCTTCTAATGTCACTGAGAATAATCCAACAAATGTCCACACATACTAATATTTGCCTAAAAATGCTAAAATACATTAACACTCGTCAAATCAACACCTATTATGTAAGAACTCGTCACCCACATCCGGTTTAACTAAGACTTTATTCAAACTTCTACAAAGCTTGTCTTTGCGGTCCCCGGTATGAGACGACTGACAAGACGTTGACAGAAACTGTAACATAAAACAAAACTTGAAATACCTTTTTGTTATATCGAAGCAGCCGCGCAGGCAGAAGCCTAAATGCCGGAACACCGCGGCTGCTATGATGATCCCAAAGAAATTTTGTTAATACGATTTTTGAACTGCCTAAGGTTAGTAGAACTGGGAAAAGCTTCCTCTGGTAGATTGTTCCACAATCTAGACACCCCCGGGACAAAGGAGCGGTCGTATCGGCCAGTTCTGGATGTACGAAGTTTGACACGGTTAGAATGGGACGCCGAAGTCAGGCGGGTCTGTCTGGCAGGCACATCGCGCGGCGGCATCATGGAACAGAGCTCTGAGGAGCAACGCCCGTTGGTATAGCGATAGAAAAGAGCTAGATCGCTGACGGCCCGCCGGTGCGAAAGAGTCCCGAGACTGTCTGTTAGAGAAGAATCATCGATCAGTCGGACCGCCCTCCTCTGGACAGCATCGAGCATGGACAATGTAGTCGGGGCGGCAGCACCCCAAATGTGTGAGCAATACTCGAGGCTAGGCCTTATCTGGGCCTTGTATAGAGTGAGAAGGTCATGCGGAGAAAAGTACTTCTTAGCCCTAAACAAATAGCCTAGCTTTTTTCCAGCAGCTGCAGCTATTGACGAGATGTGTTCGTGCCAGATCAGGTCCTCGATGATCTGGACTCCGACCCGCCGAAATGAATGGCTCTTTGGTAGAACTCGGCCGTCCATCGAAACTGGATGAGCGCTAGGACGCTTTTTGTTCGTCAAAGTACAGTCCTGTGTTTTGGAAGCATTGAACTGTACAAGATTGTTGCGTCACCAAGCATTGATAGCCTCCAGGTCTCTTGTCAGAGAAGAAGTCGTCGCTAGTCTTCTTCTTTCCAGCTCAGCGGCAGTGATCGGTTTGTCACTCTGAATTCCTTCATGTAGGGTGCTGTCATCAGCGAAGCTATGGATTGGGTTGATCGTGCAGGAAAGGAGGTCGTTGATATGTAAATGACGTTGTGGGATGAGGAAGAGAATCCGACAATTACGACGGATATCTTGCGGCCAGAGATAAAGTCAGCCACCCATCTGCAAAGCTTTTCTGGGAGGCCATAGGATGGAAGTTTGCTTAAGAGGGCAGCGTGCCACAGCTGATCGAACGCTTTCGTGATGTCAAGAGCAACGACATGAGCCTCACCATAAGCTGGATGAGTTTACTCCACAATTGCGTGACGTAAGCTAGGAGGTCCCCTGTGGATCGTTGGTGCCGGAAACCATACTGCCTGTCGCTAATCAAGCTGTGACGTTCGAGGTAGTCCAGAAGCTCGCGATTTATGCACCTCTCCATCACTTTACTTATAACAGAAAGCAGACCTGTAGGCCTGTAGTTGTAAGGGTCGGTCTTAGATCCCTTTTTTGGGCAGAGCTGGACATGAGCAAATTTCCAGTTTTCTGGGAAGGTGCCGGATTCATAAGATATCTGGAAGAGACGCGAAAGAACTGGAGCAAGCTCCGCTGCACATCTCTTCAGTACAATCGCACGAATCAAGTCCGGACCAGAAGCTTTGTTGATGTCGACCGACAAGAGCACTCGTCTTACGGTCTTATACCTGAATGTTACCTCCCGCATAGTGTGGGGAACCCTTTGAATAGACGGCACTTGGGCGTTAGTGGTGGAAGGCTACTGTGTGAGAAGTTCTTTTCAATCTGCTTGGCCAGCGTCCAGAAAGACTGCCGTTGCGCTGCGACATTCTCTGTGCCTAACATTTATATCGTGCTGGTTTTTGGCATTGCGCACTGCTTCTTTATATTTGTTTCTGGACTCAACGTCAGCTTGTCTTTTATCTACTGTGGGGTTTTGTAAGAAGGTTTTGTATGCCCTGATGTTGCTATGAGATAAGAACGAAATTCAAATCCATGGCATCGATACCTCTTGCCGTTTTTGCGATCCTTATAGAGATCTATAGGTTTTTGAAAACCGCACTGTCGACCAGACTTTTCGTAAAATTGGTGGACAACAAGTTGCTATTACAGAACCGCGAGGAGGTATGTGAATAGTACTGTTCTCTATCTATGATACTCGCGCGAATTTAGATCCTTGGCATCTATGCTCCTCGCCATTTTTGCAATCCTTATACAAATCTATATGCATCTGAAAATCGGGTTGTCGATTAGGCTTATTGTGAAATTGGTGAACGACGAGCTGCAATCAGGATCACATAAACTCGAGGAGAGATGTGAATGGTACTCTGCTTATGATCTGATGTTGGCGCTAAATTTTGATCTTTCGCATCTATGCTCCTAGTCGTTTTTGCAATCCTGGCACAGATCTATAGGTTTCTGAATATCGCACTGTTGACCACAGCGATCTTCAAAAAAAATGGTAAATTGGAGACTTGTTATCAAGTTCACACGCAAGGTGGTTTGCAAATAGTACTCTGTTCCTGCTATGAGATAGGAACGAAATTCAAATCCAGGGAATCTTTACCTCTTGCCGTTTTTGCGATCCTGATACAAATATGTTTCTGAAAATGGCACTGTCGACCAGACTTAGCGTAAAATTGGTGAACGACAAGTTGCAATCAGGATCACTGAAATTCGAGGAGACTAACATTTATATCGTGCTGGTTTTTGGCATTGCGAACCGCTTCGTTATATTTGTTTCTGGACTCGACGTCGGCTTATCTGTTCTCTACAGTGGGGTTTTGTAAGTAGGTTCTGTGTGTCTTGATCTTCTGCTGGCGATCAGTGTCACACGATTTGTTAAACCAGCCGTTGGACCCTGGTTTAGGAACTTTCACTGTGTGAGGGATGTTTTCCTCCATTCCGACGTGGATAATTTCGGTTATCGAACTTACCATCTTTGTTACTTATCAACGTTAGTCTGACAATAATTCTAAATAAGACTTAATTAAATAGGTTAACTATCACTTTTAGCGAGTCGCTTTAGCTATAATTTTGATTATGCTTGACTAAGTTATAGCTGGCTTAGCTACGTGTGGATAAAATTGTTCTATTCATCTTTAGCACTGTACTAAAAACGAATTATAGATTTATATAGGGTATTATTTTTTCTAGGTAATTTGGTCCTCTGCTTCCAATATATGTGCGAAATTACATACAGAAAATGTGACAATTTGACAAAGATCGCTAGTTGAATATTCAAATTACGAAATGTAGTGTAAAAAATGAGTAACATGTAAATCGGAGAAAATTATGCCCCAAAATAAATTATATCATAAGCTCACAGCGTTTCATTTTTTTTAGACTTACCTGCTACTAAAGGTTTGAAGATTACTTCCACTGGTTTATTAGTCACGGAATCCGGTCGCCAGGTCACGTATCAAGAAGCACGAGAGCAGAAATTGTTAGACAACATCAAGATATTTGATTTTGTCTACGAACAGGATAAAAAATCATCTAATGATCTTATGTCTGTAAAGTCAGCAGGTATATTTTCCATTTTATCATCACGTATGTTCTTAGGTTTGTTACAACCTGGGGAATCTTGATTTGTGGTCGAAATACCCACACAGCACATTCGTTTTCAGAGATACTTCCGGTATATTAGATATCTTTAGCAATATTACATTTCAAAATTGGTATTCCGTTTTAGAAATATTGATTTTGTAATATTTCGCAATTTATGTTTAAGAGACATTATTGAAATGAGGGATGAGGAATATTTCGTACTGTTTCTGAAACATCACTCAGTAGAATTAGATATATTACAGCCAGAAGAAGTAATTTATTCAACTTGTTTTTTGGCAATATAATAGCTACATTTGAAACATGCTGTGGCAACAATGTCAACGTTTTATCTTTGTTTTTATTTAACTTTGTTAACATGCTATCTCTTAGTTTTTGTGGAGAAAGCAGTTTCTGAGAACTGAGTATAGTCAAATACCAGAATTGATGACTGTAGCAGAAGTCATCGTGCGTCACTGCTTTGACGCTGTACATTTTGATTACAGCGACATTTCACAAAGAAGCGCCGCATTTTCGAAGGAGTCCGCGTAATAGCAGTGGCGTACGATGAGTTTCGCTAATGTCATCAATTTTGGTATTCTGCTATAGTACAGTAACAAACTGCCTCGAGTTCGAAGATGTCCAAATTATCACCATGTTAGCGAGTTTGACAAGGGTAGAATTATTGCCTATCGAGATGTTGGTCTGTCGTATCGCGAACTTGGGAGGAGACTATCCACTTTGCGCCATCCGCCACAGACTCTGCCACAGCTAATCTACGAAGTCCGGGTTGCTTGGAATGAGGTGCCACAACCAGACATCGATCATCTCATTTTGTCGATGTCTAGACGTATACAGTGTATCAGCTGCTGGGTCGCCCAACACATTAATTTTTTTCTTATTACTTGTCAATAAAATTTCGTGCGAATCTTATCGTTTCATTCTTGACGTAAGACTGCCTCATTGCCAAATAATCACGTTGAAGAAATTATTTTTTCTGGGTGCAACACTTCTATTATCACCGAGTATTTCATGAGGTTGGATTCATAGTTAGATAAATAGATCTTTTCAATATATCGATTTATTGCTTCCATTCCAATATCAATGCAATAGCTACCCGTATGCACATCACTAGGGGTAGTTACGACGAAAAAGTAAAAATAAAATGAGTTTTTTTCTTTGACGTGGTGAATTTTTGATGACTTTGTGTTATCCCGTTTTGTCAGTCCATGAAAAATATATTGGTGAAGAAAAGAAGGCACGTACGTACGGCATAATATATGAGAACAGCTGATTATAAATTTGGCGCCATCGGAATTCAAAAATGACAATTTGCGATAGCGGATTTCTTAACGGAGACCTAAGTCTCCTCAGCGCAAAAAGATCGGTTTTAGTTAAGTTGTCGAATCGTCAAATACTCCGCGATACATGCTTATCAATGACATCAATTACCTTTTTTTTGTTTTTTTTAGTCGCGTGAAGGATTTGTAACCGTTGCCGAAAACCCAAGCCCATATTACGAGTATGTAATGAATATACTTCTCACTCCATGATTCAGAGAAAACACTTCCTATTTAGCGGGTTTCAAGCACACATCCAGCAATTTCTCCTTTTTGCGGATTTTGCCCATTATTTTCCTACTTATTTATATATATATACAATATACTTTTTGTATATATTTTATATACAAGTAAGCAAATAATGGGCAAAATCCGCAAAAAGGAGGAAAGTGGATTCGAGCAGAAAATAGGATAGGTAACCCGAGCGATACGTATTTCTGCTGGTTGGCTTCATCAGGCCCGAAATGAATGCACATATGAAACTACAAAAGTAGATACACATGCCCACACATCCGGATACGGGTGTAACCTGAGGAAACGAAGTTGGAGGGGAAAAAGGAAAACAAAAACGACACACGAAGTCCACAACAAGAGCCAACCTATACATTGTAGTATAAAATGGCTATACCACGCGGCCGGTTATAGCCACTTGCTGTGGTACTTCAAGCCCAAAGGATCTCTTTGTAGAGAGAGAAATACGTATCGCTCGGGTTACCTATCCTATTTTCTGCTCGAATCCACTTTCCTCCTTTTTGCGGATTTTGCCCATTATTTTCCTACTTGGTGTTGTAAACCTTTCTCCGCATGATCATATTCTCTATATATATACAGGGTGGCCCATCCATGTGTGGACAGAATCTTAAACATAAACAAATACATTTTGGGAAAATCTATTTATGGGATATTGTACATGATATTTGAGGACACATTTGTAAAATATTGGCCATTACACAGGGTGTCCCAATTTCGACCTACATATCAAAGTTGTGATTTTTCAAATGGAATGCCTCAAATTTTATTTCATATTTGGATAAACCAATTCCAAAGAAGAAAATTGATATATCCTACTATGGGGCTTTGGTAATTAGCTACTGAGATATAAGGTGTTTTGTCTAGAAAAACCCCCCACTTCGGCAACCCCTCAGCCCGCCATTTTGAAATTTGGAGTGCTGAATTATGTATCAAAACAAACTTACTGACCTCAGCTTTCATCTTATTTGTTACTTTTTCCAATTTATATATATTTATATATATATATATATATACAGGGTGACTTTGAAGTTGAGTCATTAATTTTCAGATAATGATTGTAGAAGGAAGATAAACCAGAATATGTGTGTAAAAATAAAAAAAAATAAAAAAAAATTTTTACCTTGTTTTATAAAGTATCCTCCCGACAAGTATTTCAGTGCGGACCTGTATTTGATCGTGAGGTCCCCTGTGAGGTCTTAAGTCACCTGATTCACGAGCCCTTTGTACTACATTAACAAAGGTACGAGGGGTTGGTTGCACTCGATTGGGAAACCGATCCGCATAAACATGTGCCATTTTTTATTTCGTTTGAGCCACGCAACAGACACTATTCACACGCTAACCGACAGACACTGACTGTATGTATAACTGAACTGAATAAAATACTTAATTGCAAAAACATCGTTCCAAATTCTTTTTTTTGTTTCCGATGCGATGAACCGGTAAGGCGGATTATATCCGTTGTTGCCAAACACGAGTACATGATATTATTATTGAGACAGGGCGGTACTCAAACTTCCAAAGGGCTATAACTTTGTTACTTTAATTTTACCAGAAAAATGGTAAAGGAAAAAAACATTTCTTTTGATCAGATCTACTCACTGTTAAAATAAATGACTCAACTTCGAAGACTTTGAAGTTGAGTCATTAATTTTCAGATAATGATTGTAGAAGGAAGATAAACCAATATATCTACATGAAAAATGAATGTTAGTTTGCTTTATGAACTAAGGTCCAAAAATTTTTCCTTACAGTAACTCGGGGTGTTGAAGTTTTGGGAAAAAAATAGAAATTAATTAATATTTTCATAACCGATTCAGATATTTCACTGATATTTAATACGTAGTGAAAGTTAATAAAGTTGCATATTTTTCAATGCAAAAATAATTTTTTGCTTTAACAGTCGCGTGCGTACGTGTATTGACTTCGATATTTTTCAAGAAAAGAGTGGTATGCTAATGGTTTTCGAATTCCCTGTTCAATTTAAAACAAATAATCTCTCTTGAATTGTTTTCCTTCGATGCGCCATTTTTGAATAAAAAAACAAAAACCGTTCTATTGTCCGAGAAAATTAATGTAATAATTGAGGAATGCAATTTAGCAATAAATATCTAGTTGCTCTGGAATATGTCACTGGCTTTTGACATCTGACAAGTCTCTGTTATTCAAATCTGTTCGCTGTGACATCTTCTTCATTATTTAGTCTTTACAATCTTGTTATTGAATTATTCAAATGCAGAAATGGCGGAAATGCATTACGTATATGTCCTTGCCGACGGTAATGGTGAGCAAGCCAGACGGATTTATCACCAGAGATATCCCGATCGTGCTTTGCCAGATAGTCGAACCTTTTCTAATGTTCATCGTCGTCTTGTTGAAACTTGTTCTGTCCGAAAAGGAACATCTGCAGGTAGACCCCTAAGTGTGAGAACACGTGAAATTTAGGAAGCAGTGCTGCACGAAGTCGAAGAATCCTGAAACGAGTACGAGGAAGATCGCTAGACACTTAAATATTTGCCAACAAATTGTTTGGAGAATTTTAGTGGATTTTTTGTTATATACTTACCATATTTTAAGAGTACCGGCATTACTTCATTGACTTTCCAAGGCGTGTGACCTTTTTTCAGTGGTATCTTCAAAAAATTACACAAAATCAGCAATTTGAATCAATGATTCTGTCCACGGACGAAGCAAATTTTTCTCGAAATGCCATTCAGAATTTCCACAATAATCATTTGTGGGCAGAAAAAAATCCCTATCCCGTAACCGAAACCCATTTCCAACATCAATTTTCGGTTAACGTATGGGCAGGAATTATTGGCAACCACTTTATTGGCCCATTCTTCTTGCCGGGACGACTTGACGGACAGACCTACCTCAATTTTCTTAAACAACAGTTGTCTTTGCTGCTTGAAGATGTTCCATTAGTAATAAGAAACAATATGTGGTACATGCATGATGGTGCACCAGCGCATTTCAGTGTAGCGGTTCGTAATTATTTACAAACTGTTTATCCAAATCGTTGGATTGGCCGAGGTGGGTCCCAAGAATGGCCACCAAGGTCCCCAGACCTCAACAGTTTAGATTTCTTTTTGTGGGGCTATCTTAAGACACTAGTGTACACAAGTCCCATTAACACTGTAGAGGAATTAAGAGAAAGAATAGTTGCAGCTTGTGATAGAATAGAAAACAATTCAGGGATATTTCAACGAGTGCGCAATTCCATGAGGAGGGCGGAAGCATGCCTACTAAGTGAAGGGGGCCATTTTTAACAATTTTTGTAATCATTTCGTTGGTTTTAATGTTATGTTTATGTTGTCAGTTGTTGTTGTTCATTACCCCTAATGTGTTTAATTTTTCCAATTAAATTAATAATAATTTTATAAGTTA